CCAGGTGACAGGCCGAAAGACACAGTTCCTGGGCCACCAAGGGCTCCAGGCCACCAATGGGAGTAGACTGCCTCGGAGGAAGCCAGGGACATGCTATTGGGACGTGGGCCCACACTTAAGAGATCTCAGTTTCCAGCTAGATTTTCTCCAACCTGGCTTTGCCTTCTCTGCTCTCTGCCTTATGCAATCATTGCTCTGGGCCCGATTTTGCTGCCGTTTTCTCACTTGAGAAATGGCAATGAGATGCCGTGAGATTTCCACATGTGGCATCGACGGAGGCCGCTGCCGGGGTTCCACTCCAGCTTAGCCCTTGTGGACGAAAGGGGCCACACGCTGACCTGACAAGCTCAGGGAAGGCCTGCGTGGCAGCCTAGCAGACTCAGAGACCTAAAATAACCACAAAGGATGGTCTGAAATTAAACTTTAACTAAAAGCAGTTATGGTGGGCAGTTATGTCCTAAGCCAGTATCTTCACTGACAAGATCAACTTTGATCCTTGCTGAGCCCATTTGCCTTTTTGCCTCTAAGATATCATTCCCTTGAAATGTCTGGGTAACTTGTAACTTCCCTTTTTCTGGAGCCCCTGGGCACAACCAAATGTTCTGAGCGCCAGGACAGATACTACAAATTCCTTCATTATCATGTTAATTGATCCTGCACCCACCTAAGTATGTGTATTTTACTTTTTATCCTATCACAGAGGTCCCCCCCCCCCCCCCCCCCCCCCCGCTTCGCTTAATCCCACCTCCTTAAATCTGTCACCAATGAATTTCATGTATAAATACGGATGTAACCCTGCCATTCTCCGGAGCACTATCTCAATTCGTTGAGGTTCTGCTTCCTGGCATATGTCGACAGTTTGGCTCAAATAAACTCACAAAAATTCTTTACAGGTTTCAATGGTTTTTTTACGTTAACACCCTCCTGCGACGGGGTCCCTCCCGGGAGGCAGGTTCGCCCCCCGTTTGGGTGGGTCAAGGCATGACTCACCTTGACCAGCAGCTTGAGTCACACAGATCAGCTAGCCCCACGGAGGTGATATTGCCAGTAAACATGACCAGTCACGGGTATGGAGGCAGCTCTGTTTGCCTTGGAGGTAAACGCCCCCCTCCCCACCCCTCCAGCCTCTGCCAGGAGGGAAAAGGACACAAGCTTGTGGGTGTTAACTCTGTACGATGACAGGCCGATGACAGGCGTCTGTGACGGGGCCTGAGAACCTCAGGGACTTTGCTCCAGTCATTGAGGAGGGGGTTGGGGGTCCTTGGCTGCCGCAGGGAAAGGACGCCAGGTGGCAGCTGTCCCTGTGGGCTGGTTGGCTACCTGAGGCTGGGTGCTGTCTCCCCCAGTTCTCTGTTTTTCAAAGCCCAGCCGGAGAGGCCCCTACCACTGCCCCTGTCCATATGTGTCTCAGCAAAAAGATGGTGGGCTCTGGGGGGAGGGGAAGGACGCAGGGTCAGCCCCTTGCTCCCTGCCTCATCGTGGCAGAGAACTCACACCAATCTTCTCCCCCAGGAAGCAGGGCTGGAGTTTCTTCAGGGTCATGCCCTTCTTGGTTATGCGTGGTATGCGCAGGACCCCAGGCTCTGCCCCCAGCCAGCTGGCGGGTGTGGTCCCTCAGGGCTCTTGGGGCGGGTGGGGAATGAGGCATAGGATCTGTCACCTGCCCTGTGAGTCCTACCATGGCCCGAGGCAGATGGAAAGATCTGAATCTTTGTTTACCATTATCTTTTTTGCCCTAATTTGGATTTTTCCAAAAGGTTGCCTTTTTATTAATATTTTTATTGATTTCAGAGCGGAAGGGAGGGGAGAGAGAGGTAGAAACATCAATGATGAGAGAGAATCCTTGATCAGCTGCCTACTGCACTCCCCCTACTGGGGATGGAGCCTGCAACCCAGGGAATTGAACTTCCACCTCCTGGTTCATAGGTTGATGCTCAGCCACTGAGCCACACTGGTCAGGCATCTTAAGATATCTTTAAAAAATTTTTTTAAAAAATTGATCTCAGAGAGGATGGGAGAGGGAGAGAGAGAGAGAGATAAAAACATCAATAATGAGAGAGAATTATTGATCAGCTACCTCCTGCACACCTTCTACCGGGGATTGAGCCCACACTTGGGCATGTGCCCTGACGGGGAATCAAACTGTGACCCCCTGGTTCATAGGTCAACGCTCAACCACTGGGCCACACCAGCCGGGCTTAAGCTCTCTTGATGACTGAGTCATTTGGTGCTCCCTTCAGTTTTGTGCTGAGTCAGCTGCCTCCCTCACCTCACTCGTCCAGTCTTGTTCCCAGTTGCTGTCCGAGAATCAGAGAGGTATAGCTGGACAGAGGAGGCGACCCCCGGCAGGTTGGCCCTGGAGCTCCATCCTGCCCTGCAGGGAAGATGGCAAGTCCTGTCTTGCTCCCTGGTTTGGATAGACTTGGAACCCCTTTCAGCCGTCCTGCCTGGCAGCTGTCATCGGGACTCAGGAGGGCGGGGCCTGAGCCGGGCCCCCTGGCTGCCCTCTGTGCCCACTAGATGGCGCACTGGCTGCACAGGAGAATGCGGCACACCTCCCCTTGGAGATTCCAGCTTTTGAGAGTCACTTGCCAGCCTGGGGAGCACCCCCACAGGCAGCCCAGTTCCCAGGTGGGGAGACTGAGGCACGGAGAGGTGAAGTGACTCACCTATTGTCTTTCAGTCCCTAATGAATATTGGCTGTGGATTATACCTGACATACCTCAAATCCCTATCTTCCTGGATCAGTTCTGGATCTATTTTATAATTTTTTTTTAATCCTCACCCAAGGATATGTTTTTATTGATTTTTTAGAGAGAGAAGAAGGGAGGAGGAGGGAGAAACATGGATGTGAGAGAGAAACATCAATCGGTTGCCTCCTGCACATACCCAACTGGAGATCAAATCTGCAACCTGGCTGGAAATTGAACCGGAAAACTTGTGGTGTATGGGACGATGCCCCAACCAACTGAGCCACCCGGTCAGGGCTTCATATAGCTTACAGGCACCTTTGACAACCTGGTGAAAGTTCTAGGACTTCCTGGGAAAAGTTTGAAAATAATTTTCTGAGCTTCAAGAATAGCACAGAAATGGATTAAGAACCTCCTCTCTACGTGTTTGCAGTGTGTTTGATTTGGGGGCTGAGGCATGTCTGATGGGTTCAGGAGCAGCGGAGGGGAGATGTGATGAGCTGAGTGCAGGTGAGGTCAGAGAAGTCACAGGCCCTTGTTGTGGGGGCCTTGTCAGCAGGTACAGACCTGCCCGTGTTCTCTGCGTGAAAGAGGGAGCCTGCTTTAGGGATTTCCGCCCAGGTCATCATATGACTTATGTTTTCAAAGGATCAGTCTGGCAGCTGAGCTGAGACTAGACAGTGAGTGGGGTAGGGAACAGGGTGGACGTGGGGGTCTAGTAAGAGGCTACAGCATGTTTCCAGTGACAGCTATTGGTGGCTCACGAAGGGTGGTGACAGCAGGGGCGGTGAGCAGTGGTCAGATGGTCAGATCCGGGATATAGTTTGAAGACAGAACAATGAAGTTTCCTGATAAGTCAGGTTGGGGATGGGAGGGGTCAAGGCTTTTGGCCTCATAAAACAGAAGTGGAATTGTCATCAGCTGAGGTTGCAGATGGAGCAGGTGTTTAGGGGAAGAGCAGGTGTTTTGGCTGTTGAGTTTATATGGCTTAGAGCGCTGACCAGATGTCTCAGTTGGTTGGAGCATCGTCCTGTACCCCAAAAGGTAGTAGGTTTCATTCCTGGTCAGGGCACATACGTAGGTTGCAGGGTCACTCCTCAGTCAGGGAGTGTATGGAAGGTGACGAGTCAATGTTTCTCTCTCCCCCTGCTTCTTCCCTCTCTCTCCCTCTCCCTCCCCTCTCTCTAAAAATCAATAAAAAAAAACAACAACACATATCTTCAGGTGAGGATTTAAAAAGAAAAAGGAAAAGAGACATTTTTAAAAAAGTGGATTAGAGCCCAAGAGATGTGTGTGAGGCATTGAATGAATACGCCTGGAGTTGGGTGACTGTAAAGTTGGGAGTCATTGATGGAAGGATGGTGCCAACAGTTAAATGTCTTAAAACACTTCAGTTGGTTATAAAGAGAAACTCAAGGGCAGCATCGCGCACTGGGCTTCAGATGAGTCGTATGGACAACGACGCGGCTCAGGCAAGTGATTCTGTTCTCTCTGCTTTGGGGATGCCAAGGACACGGTCCCTTACATCATGCAATGCTCCCTCTGTCGTAAGCAATCTCATCTCTTGCTGAGTCCTGGGAACAGCTCTGCTCTCCCAGGAAGTGATATGCTTCCTCTTTTCCGAAAATGAGCATCACTAAAAGACTGGGTCTCTTTTCCCTACAGCTGCCGGGGAGCTCAGAGCCAAATTCAAAACTCAACTGTAACACATTAACCGCTTGGCTATGTGGAGCCTGCATATTTGCATGTTTCCTTTCCTTCACCTCGATGTCCTACCTTTAATGCCCAGTTTTGGTTTTTAATTTTTACTTTCTCACATGTGCTCTTTCTAGAATCATTTCAAATCTATATTGAATGAGAAAGAGTATAAAATAGAGAAGGAAATAAACATAATTGAATAAAGTTGCTTTTTAATAACAACACAACTCATTGTTTTAAAGTATAAAAGATATTGGAAATTTGTCTCCAAAGTAATTTTCTATACGCAGAGTCTTATCTTCCCACTGACTTTCATTATATTTGAAAATGTGTCCCTCAAGGACAAAGAATTCTACTCCCCAAATTATAACAATCCCACTTTCAAATTGCAGCAAATACTCGTATGCAAATTCACACATTTTAAAGAACTAAGCTATCACAAGATACTGAGAATAATATGCGAAGTGAGTCACAGAGTGCAAATGCAAAAAAGCACAGTTGTTCTTACGTCTGGTGCAACGACTGTGAGGTTGCAGGAAGAGGAATGTGACTTTTCTTACCGGACACGCTGCTCTGCGAGGCGCGGAGGCACAGCCTTCCTGGAACCCACTGACGCGCGTGTCCCAGACCTCGGCCGGCCTCGCGGCCTTCACTGGGCCACTCACTTAAAGCTCCTGCTTCATTCGTCTGCCAACCTTGGTTCTTCAAGTCAACTCTGTAGCCAATTAGCTGTGGCGTAAGGCCAATGTGCTCTGAGCCTCAGTTTCCCCATCTGTAACCTGAGGAAGGCCGGAGCCCAGGCGGTTCCCAGCCCTGCCGGCCCATCAGGATCACCTGGGCAGCTTCCTGAAGTCAGACGCTGCTGCACCCAAGAGTCCATACTTTCAGTTCCAGGTAAAGTAAGTTCTAGAACAGGCAAACCCTCTTCTCTGATGGGAACAATCAGAACAGTGGTTGCCAGGGGAACAGGAGGGGGTGTCGCCTGGGAAGGAGCAGGAAGGAACTTTCTGGGGTGACGGTGCTGTTGTCTTAATGGGAATATGGGTTACACTGGTGTGTACATTTGTCAAAAGTGATTGGATGGCACATTTAAGATGTGTGCATCTCACTGTATGCATACTGACCTCAACAGAAAAGAATGGCTGTCACAAAACAGTGGACTCTAGTTAATAATATCTGTGCTGAAGTGTTTAGGGGTGAATTGCGCTGATGTCACAACTCATTTTGAAATACATCCCCCCCCCCCAAAAAAAAAAATACACAGCTTGTTGGATGGGTTGAGGGAGAGTTGAGTAGATATGTGACAAAGTGAGCATAATAAAATGTTAATTGGAGAATCCAGGTGGTGGGTACATGGGAATGTACTATAAAATTCTTTCACATTTTTATTGAGGTTGGAAAGTTTTTTGTTTTTTTAAAAACAAATCAATATATTTTATTGATTTTTTACAGAGAGGAAGGGAGAGGAATAGAGAGTTAGAAACATCGATCAGCTGCCTCCTGCACACTCCTTACTGGGGCAGGGGGATGTGCCCGCAACCAAGGTACATGCCCTTGACCGGAATCAAACCTGGGACCCTTGAGTCCGCAGGCCCACGCTCTATCCACTGAGCCAAACCGGTCAGGGCAGAGGTTGGAATGTTTTTACAATGAAATGTTGGAGGGAAATTCGGAAGCTGGTACCGTACGCCCATATTTATCACACCGGGGTCTTTCCCGAATGAAAAATCCTACCACGTGGAGGGAGATACATTTCTTTCTCAAGGGTAACAGGTGTTAAGCCATTCATGGACAGAGATACTGGGGAGAAATGACGCATCGGCGAGTGTTGTTTCTTACCCCTGACGATGAACTGATGGGGCTGGAATCTTCCCACAGGTAACGATAATGGGAAAGGCCTGGGCTTTGGGCGCCTGGGCTTCGTTGTCATGGCGTTTGTTGCTAGGGCCGCCCGGCCTCTTACTAGTAGTGGCAGCACCTGGTCCAAGTTTGGGGCTGGCCGCTGCAGAACGTCCACTTGCCTCAGCCACCAGGGGGCGCTGTCACCCTAGCAGTTGGCCTGAAACTCCCACACTGTTCAAACCCCACAGCTTGATATGGTGTTTTCCTCTGCGGGCCATACAGGGCTATTCCCATCATGCCTTGCTTGCCTTCTTAATTCGCCCACCCCCAAAGCATCAAACCTCCAGGTCATAGACCCTCTTTTCTCTCTAATCTGACACACCCCCCCCCCCCCCCCCCCCCCGCTCCCCTGCCTCCCGCATCCTTCTCACCTTCTCAGCCTGGACTGACTGACACCACTACATCAGTGGCCAGCAAGCCCCCTCCAGGCGTGGCCCCTTCTGGGCAGGTTCAGCTCCCTCTTACCTGGCTCATCACCTCGCCCCGTGCCCTCTCCCGTGGGGTCTTTCTTCTCTTATCCCCCCCGCCCCACCAACCTGCAGAATCTGAGCTGGGGCGGCATCCCCCATGCTGCTTCTAGGACATTTCCCTTGCTTTCTCACTCAAAAGCCAGCCACTTACCTGTTGTCCCTCTGGGTGGCTGCCGTCTGTGGGTCTGCTGGTCACTCGCTGAAGATTTCCCCTCCTGGCCAACCGTCCCTTCCATCCTCCTGCCATATTTCAATGACCCATGTGGGTGGCCATCCCGCCCCCTGGTCTATCTCTACCTTGACATCCTCACCTCCAGGGATCTTCCCAACACCCCCACTCAACCACCCTTCCCGTGGTCACAACCGGGGACCTGCCATGTTCTAGCAGAGAGACCCAAGCACCCCCACCCCCACTCCACGCCACCCCACCCGCCCGCTGGCCTCCCCAGAGGGCCCACCATCTCCTCGCTGGTGCTCCCTTCCTTACTCATGGTCCCTTATTTAGCCAACTCCCTCGCCTCTCTCTCCTACCATCGCCCCCCGCTGAGCAAACCCCAGCACGGATGACACACACTGGCTGGTTCTCTTCCCACACGCAGGCCGCCCAGCATCCCGGGAAAATCACACCATCAGCCTGGCTCCCTTCACTTTGCTAGTATATTCACCATCAGGGACGTAAAGGAGTGGGCGCCCCATGCTGCCCGCAAGCAAGCCCCCCACTTTCCGTAGGCTTGCTCTCCTACTCTCTGCGACAATGACTTCATGCTCCCCTCTCTCCTCCAGCCCCCGCGGGCCTCCTTCTGCTTCTCAGAAGCGCGAATCCCACCTCCATCCAGACATGAGAAGCCGGCAGCGTGAGCTCTGGGGTCTGCACGTCTCTCTCCATCCCCACATCCCTAGGGGAGAATCCGGCTTCTCTCTGAGGCCCGCTGCCCCTCCCCCAGCTCTGGGTCCCACCCCTCTTGCTCACTAGAGCTTGTCACTCTCCGTGTACCCCTGTATTCTTGTCAACGGGAAGCTTTCACCAGAGGGCAGAGGACTAGCTTTTTGGTTGGGGACCGAAATGTCACTCAGTTTTCTGTAAAAAGGAATTTTTCTAGTTGCCACCTGACTAGGGATGAGCATGGGTGGTGGGTGGGGGTAGGGCTGAGACTTTTTTTTTTTAAAAGAAATCCAGGGTGGCCATAACCTCTGTTTACCTAGGGGCTGAGAAGATGGAGGTTGCCAAAGGCACCAAAGAGATATTCTATATTTTTTTAAAAACCTGGAAATAAAATATCACCACGGCAGATGAATCAGATGAATCATCGCTGGCGCCGACCTCCAGGCCAGGGGATTGTGAGGCCGTGGGGCGGCGGCCTCGGGGCAGTGTCTGCACCTGGCGGGGGCTGGGCTTGCTGGGTGTGAAAGCTTCATTTTCTTTTCTCAGATTTCTTTCTTGCACGTTTCCGGCCTTGCTCACCTCCCATGTCTTCCCGGGCGTCACTCACATTCTCACTTCGGATTATTCTTCACTCTTAGCGTCCCCTTTCCTTCTTAAAAACTGTATTTCTCTCTGCGCCCAGGAAGACCAGGTGGCCGGCGCCCAGGGCCCAGGGCAGCTCCGGGCCCAGGTGGGTTTGCTCAGCTGGAGGCAGAGTCCGCAGAGCAGGACCGTGCTGGTGACTCTACGGAGAACAGACCTCCGGCGGGGAAACCTCAGGCGGGGAGGCGAGGTAGGCGCGCTGCTGCGGGCAGCTGGGCCGGAGGTGACGGGTGAGGGAGAGAAGAGGCATTCTCCTGTTGGGCACAGACAATGTCACGGCTCACCAACCACGGACCAGGCCACCCGGTGACCACGAGGGATCAAGGCAGCCACGAGACCCCATAGGGAGACCATGCCTGCACACAAACAAAACCGGGACGCCGTTCCAACCACAAAATGAACCCAACATCCTCCATCCTGGCTAGCGTGACTCCTCTTTTTAAAAAATGCAATCACAGCTCTGGCTCCGTCCTGTCCATCCTCTAGAGAAGAATTGTTCAGATGCCCCATCATCGCTTTTCCCCTGATTCCCGATGGCATCCAACCCGGAGCGAAGCCGTGCTCCCCTGAGCCCCACCCCAAATCACACAGCAGACGCCCCAGGCCTGTAACAGGTCCCACCTGAGATGCCTCAGTTTCCCCATTGTGTGTGGTCTCTCTCTCCTGGTTGGTCATCGTTAGCTGTGCTCCTGGTGATCTCTGGTTGAAGGGCAGGTGGGCTTCGTGGTGCGGGGCTGTGCAGGCCACCGCTGCACTCGGAAGGGCCCTGCACTAGGTTGCGTGCTGTGCTGCTGCCGCAGTGAAATTCTTAGTAATTTTTGCACGAGGGGCTCCGTACGTTCACGCTCCATGGGGCCTGCAAATTCCGTAGCCAGTTCTGAAGAGCCTCGGCAGTGGGCAATGCCAGGTCACTGTCAGTGGAAGAGCGGGTGCACCAGGATGGGTAGGACTGGTTGCCAGTTTGGATTTGGGAGAATTCAAGGAGGTGGAAGAGAAATCCCAAATTTGGGATTTGTATATGTGTGTGTGTGTGTGTGTGTGTGTGCGCGCGGTGGTGGGGGGAGAGATGTATCAAAATGGGAAACACTGGGTGGTCGAGTCAGGCAGGTTTTAGAGTGGGAGCGGGGAGTCAAGAGTCTCAATTTGGTGAACATATACTTCCTATCACATGTTAGCAAATAGACACGGGATGTTTCTTTTAAAAATATATTTTTATTGACTTCAGAGAGGAAGGGAGAGGCACAGAGAGATAGAAACAGTAATGATGAGAGAGAATCATGGTTGGCGGCCTCCTGCACGCCCCCTACTGGGGATCAGGTATGGGGCGCGGCTACAGTGTTTGGACAGGTTCAAGCCTTGGACTGAGGAGAGGGCACAGTCCTCTCATTGCCACGTGCAAGTCCCAGCTTGGAGGGCAGAGCCCTCCCAGCACAATTAGCCAACAGCTATAGCTGTAAGCTTGAACTGATGGTCCGAACACGTGGCCCCACATGTCTGAGTGATAAAGTTCAGGTGCATGTAGTTGAGTGGGATTGAAACCCACGAGAATGCTGTAAACATCTTGATCACTCCCCTACTTTGCCTCGTGGCATCTGCTATAAAATAAAGACACGGCTTGTGGGCGCGGGCGCTGTCCATCAGAGGGGCAGCGTCCCACCGAGACCCAGCTCTCATTCTCTTGTCTGTCTTTTCTAAGCCTTTCACCGCCCCCACTCAGGGTCACTGAACCAGGCTGAGCTGGCATGGCACATAAGGCGCCCTGGGGCTGAGTATGCCATGGCCGTGCCGGCTTCCCACAACCAGGGATTGAGCCCACAACCTGGGCACGTGCCCTGTCCGGGAATGGAACCGTGACCTCCTGGTTTATAGGTCAATGCTCAACCATTGAGCCACACCAGCCGGGCAAGGACGTAACATTTTTTAAAAGAGGGAGACTCGATATTGTATAACGGTTTTGTAAGACATTACCAATGAGGGAGGGGGAGAGTTGAGCAGAG